GAACACCCGAAATGGCCAGCCGCAGCATTTTCGTGCCCTTGGTAAGCGAGGGGAGGGCGCGAAAACGCTGCGCTCAGCCAATTCGGCTGTTCCAGCAGCGTTTTTGCGTCCTCCCCTTGCTTACCAAGGGCGCGAAAATGCTGCGGCCGGCCCTTTCGGCTGTTCCGGCAGCCATTTTGAAGCCACGGAACAGCTGATCGGCAGGGTGCAAAGCGAAGGTCGGTAAGCGAACCGCTTACCGACCTTCGCTCTGCGATTTTCGCCCATTGGGGGCATCGCTGTGCGATCGCATTAGCAATCGCAAAAGCATCACCGTAAAGCGAATTCATCGCTCTACGGGGCACTCATTCTGCGAGGCACCACTGTATTCTCTGCTTGGAGAGGGAGGAACAGGGGAAGTAAAGGAGGATGGAGATTGCAGAGAAATTAAATGAGTTCTTCTCATCTGTCTTCACAACAGAAGACCTTGGGCAGATTCCACTGCTTGAACTAATGAATTAAATCTGATACAGGTTAAAAGATTATGTTTTACACCTAATTGATAAATTGAAGATCAATAAGTCACCGGGCTCAAATGGCATCCATCCAAGAGTTATTAAGGAACTGAGGAATGAAGTTGCTCATCTCTTAACTAAAATATACAACTTGTCCCTTAAAACGGCCATGGTGCCAGAGGACCGGAGGATAGCACATGTCACACCAATCTTTAAAAAGGGAAGGAGGGGAGACCAGGGAAACTACAGGCTGGTTATCCTAATGTCTGTTCCAAGGAAGATGGTGGGAAGCTTCATCCCAGAAGAACAAGCATTGCTGAGGGGAAATCACCATGGCTTCTGTAACGGTAAGTTTTGCCTCGTTAACCTTTTAGAATTCTTTGAAAAGGTCAAACAGGCATGTGGATGCGGGTGAACCAGTGGATATTGTCTATCTTGATTTTCAGAAGGTGTTTGACACAGTCCTTCACCAAAGGCTGTTGAGAAAACTCCACAGTCAAGAGATAAGAGGACAGGTCCTCTTATGGAATGAGAATTGGCTGAGAACCAGGAAACAAAGAGTAGGTGT